ACGTATGGTATAGACAATAGTTTAAACCAAAAATTAATAACAATTTTAGTATAGTTATAAGTAGGAATGTACAGTTAACTCGAGAATGAGAACTTATTGGTAACAAATTGTTTTCTTGAGAATTCAATAGATAACAGTCAATTTGTTACATAATCGTCTTTACGAACTATAACGTGTCAATACCAAGTTTCAGATATTAAATAATGTATATGTTGAAAGAGAACAATTCCGTATTTGCTTAACATATGCTATTACTATCCACAAATCACAAGGCCTTAGTTTTGGCAGTCCTCTTCTCAACATAGCCTCCTCTATATTTAATAAATGGCAGGTTTACGTTGGACTCTCCAGAGTTAAAACCTTAGATGGAGTACGTCTTAACAATTTAGATCCAAGTCACGAGAGCTCTATTGTAGAGTACAACCATCTGTGGACGTTATACCGCCCCGATTTGCCCAAAAATTCCTGATACTGAATTGGCAATGCACTTGAACATTTAAAAGTTACAAGAAAATATAGAAAATAACACAAAAAAAGACAATTATACCCCGTAAATATACGAAAATACAGTAATTTATCAAAAATAATTTGGTATTAATTTAGTTATAAATAAGTACCTCGTATAATTTATGTACAAAAAGTAATGATATCCCATCAAAAACATAAATGTGAAATGATAGCCGAGTTTAATATTATGATATATACCTTGATTGTTGACTTCTACGACAAAAGAGATGAGATCTAAATGGGTGCCAAGTTCAATGATCTGTCCTGAAATGTATTTATAACAATATAAAATATCATTTCTTCTTATAACTTAGGATAATATACTGTAGCCTAAGGTCTAACTTGGCTAGTTTTCATATACGAAATATACTGTAGCCTTCGCAAGTTCTAAACATGTTACTTGTCGGTTCCTATTTTAATATTAATAGTAACTAGCAATCGAAAGTAATAATTGGTATATGAGAACTGGCCAAGTTAGACCTTAGGCTACAGTATATTATCGTAAGTTATAAGAAGAAATGATATTTTATATTGTTATAAATACATTTCAGGATAGATCATTGAACTTGGCACCCATTTAGATCTCATCTCTTTTGTCGTAGAAGTCAACAATCAAGGTATATATCATAATATTAAACTCGGCTATCATTTCACATTTATGTTTTTGATGGGATAGATATTTATGCCATACCTATATGTATCGATACATACAACAAGGTACCTAATTAATACACGTCACTCTACGAACGTAATAGAAATGATACTAACGTGATCCGCTAGGAGGAAGGGAATTGTTAGTAATGTGGATTGAGGTGGATGATTCCGTTACTAGTAATGTACCATGCTAGATTGACCTTCACGCGATTCCTCCTGGAAACCATCGTGTTAAATTTGTGGAGAATTTACCACTGACCTGACCTCAAGCTCTGGCAACCTGACGAGCTAACTGACCTGACCTTAAGCTCATCCTGATATCATGATCACTGGTGCCCCGCCAGTGTAAACCGTTAGCGCGAGAGAACTGTATCATTATCTTCCATTTAAAAAAAAATGCGATGAGCTGATCGATGTCTCTTTCCATCGCTGCTTTAGTCACGTACGTTACTGAAATGTATCTTATCTGCACTTAAGTATTAATTAAAAGGATTTTTACAGAAAACTACTTAGTATCAATATATCTAGATACGTAAACCAGATTAGAAATAATCATTCATCAAAATATATACCTACTTAAAGATAGGTTTTACAAATACCTTCAGTAATCACTACATTTATATATGACATACACGAAAAAGAAACATCAAAATGAAGAAATATAATTATTAACTTTGTTTTGAAGTCGGCGACTAAAAATGGACAGAGTAATGTAGGTAGATCTATCTCATAGTAACGTAAATTAATTACAACCCTCTGGCTAGAATATTGATATTTAATGTTCCATGTTGAAATAATGTTAACATTCATTCATAATTACGTTATGTCGGCAAGACGCTTTGTGAGTCACAGGGGCAAAAGACAATAAAAAAACTTCCCATCAGGAATGCGCGTTCCCTCACGTTTGGAAGTCCATGATCCTTTAGTGTTTTTTACCAATGTAATTCTAGACGGGACTCCGTTACAACTTTCTATAAAAAAACTAAGCAGGTAGGTATTTGTTGTTTTGTTCAGCTCAAAATGTGAGGGCGAGAAGGGTGGTCCCTCAAGGTACAGTTATAGATGCCAACGTTAAATTAATTTAATAAGGAAAAAGAAGACAATTCGAAATAAAGGAGCACATAATTCGACTCGTATTTTTAGAAGTGCGAAATTATGTTGGAGAAAATAAAAATAGTAATTAAAAAATAAATTTTAACAGAAAAGTTATTTTTATATTATATACCTAACTTGATTTTTAATAAACCGGGACTGTGCGCGGAAGTAGAATCTATCAACCATTTTTTAATTACTCTTATTATGTGATTAGAGGTTTTTAGATGTGTGAAATTATGTTTATGAAAGTAAAATATTTAATAATTTATATTTTTTAACAAAAAATTTATATTTATATTACACTAGCTTTAACTTTATGCATGCAAAGTCTCAGCCCGATCGGTTTAAAATTGATAAAGTTTCATATAAACTTTCATCCCCTATTTTATCTCTTTGGGGGTAGAATTAATCAAAATCCTTTCTTAGCGGATGACTACGTCATAACATCTACCTACATGCCAAATTTCAGCCCGTCCAGTGGTTTGGGCTGTGCGTTGATAGATCACTACGTCAATCACCTTTGAGTAATATATATTTACATATATTTGAGTTGTACCTATGGTCCAGGACTATCCGTAAAAGTAGAATGTAGTAGCCATTTTTTAAATTACATTCTTAATTATTATGAAGTTGCTTACTTACTGCACTTTGCATTACCTATTAATTCTAACTATTTGTTAGCAAAATTTCACCTTATCTAAAGTTATCAATTATACGTTAGATATTTCGATCTAATTGTGACATTGACCGCTCCCATTTCTTATCAGTACATCGCAAATATTCTACACTATACACTACTGAAAAATAGGTTACAACGAAACTGTAATTGTTATTAAATAGACGTGTGCACGAAAACCTGTAGCGCAGCTTGAAATGTGTTAAAATTGCCTGCTAATGAAATGCAGCAATACATTCGGAACCATAATTAAATAATTAATTAGTGGTGATAAGAAAGTCATTAATAAACATTGAAACAAAATATAGATATAGAAGAATGTAAACAAATTCTTTGCTACGATATGAAGTGCTAAAAAATATAATTACTTACAAAATTGACGCTATGCCGTCAGCTTTTGGTATCGGTGCATTCAGCCCGCCTGAGTGGAGTGACTCTAGTGACAGTAATGAACCTGGTCCACTGCCGCAGTTGGGGTACTTCGTACCTGTGAGATGCAAATGTGATCGAGCGACGCAACATGTGTGTAGGAGAAGCAGAAGGTAAATAGAAATTATAGAAAGAATTGTCATTTTTCAAATTAAATTTAAATAAAAAACAATGATTAATATGAATCACGTAGGAGAGTCGATTTTATTATATATTAATACAATTTATTTATTGATTTAATACAATTAATATATTTTTGAACTGGCAAGAGAGCCAACTTAATTTTTAAATCTTTTTTTTTAGTCTCTATTTGGTTACACTTCATAACTGGCAATATAGACAATTGAATTTGTTCCTTTTTCAAATCCTATTTTTGTTAATATAGTTTACATAATTAAGGGTCTATTAAACGAGGTATCCCGTACTAATTATTGCCATGTATCTTTCTCATTTTATAACCTTACCTTTTCTTATTTCATGGAGTAAGCCTTTTTCGATTGGTTGGTTCTATATAATTTTTCAGAATACCATTTCATCGTTACTTATTTTTATTTAAAGTATTTATTCTAATATATTTTGCTCCTATGCATGACTTAATTATACCATGATTATAATTATAAATAATTGGTTACTTCGCAGGTAATTTTAAGTATATTCTTTGGCTTTTGAATAGACCAGAAGTATCGGATTGCTTCCCAATTATCTATATATGTAACGAACTGCTAGTAATAATATATCAGTTATCTACCTGGCATCTTAATCTTATCTGTACAATAATAATGTATACCTATTATATATAGAGGTAGGTAATAACATAGTAATATCTACTTTTATACAATTGTAATTATTTATTGTGTAAATCTAAATTAAAAGCCGTTAACTAGTCCAATCTTCAAATTTTTAAATTTACAAATAATTTCGTATATTACGACCATTACGTCGACAATTAATCCTAAAAACCTCTACCCTATCGGGATACCAGTCTTGAAAGTATGTCATCATCATCATCAAACATTCTTCCAGATGAGCTGGATGATATGTGTATGGTGTAAAAGTCGTCTATGACGAGAATCAGTAAACGGAATGTTACTAAATATTTGTAACAGAATGTATAGAATGACAAACAAACTGACAGTCCATCTATATATGATCAGCTCCCACGGACATCATAATATTTCGTGGCGCACCTAGTAGTTACCCCTCATTGGATGCCATTCCGGAGAACTGAAATGTTAAGCCTCCGTGGCCCGTACTTTCACTGCCGTACCACACCCTGCCACCAAAACACAGTTTACAGAGTAATCTGCTTGGCATTTAAATTGCTGAAATGGGTAAGAACCTACCTTTGAAGACGCTTTGTATGAAGGGTACCATGCCGTAATTAAATCTATATTAATATTATAAAGAGATAAATTTGTAACTTTGAATAATCCGAGTAACCGGTACTAGTGATTCGATTTTGAAAATTCTTTTATTGTTAAATAGTTTATTTATCGAGGAAAGCTACAGGCCATATAACATCACGCTCCAACCAATATGAGTGAAGCTGCAATGAAAATTGTTGGTAAAATAGAGAAAATGTGAAGCAGATGTAGTTGCGCGGGTCAGTTAGTAACAGACAGATATATTTTGTCAACAGAGAATCTCCCCGTTCACGTCGCTCCGTGTCGCAATGTTCCTGCAACAGTATCTCCCGAAGGTCCTCAGCGGCACCGTCACCGATGATACTACCGCCGCTCAACAACACCATGGAGATGTACGTGGAACCAGTCGTCGAGGATGTAAGTAGTATTTGAAGTTTCATAAAGAAAAAAAGTTAGGGAGTTACGAAAAAACTTGTGATGCAATTCGGTTTATTCAATATTATCAACTTATGGGATCTGACTGTCTGGTCATTCGCAACCCTCTAGGGAAGTGAAGGTTTTTTAATAGATGACAATAGAATGGTGCCCGCTAACGGTTTACGTTGACGGAGCTCCGTTGGAGGATAATAAGATGAGCATGAGGTCAGATCAGTTAGTTCATCGTGACAAATAAACCAGGAATTTATCACGATGGTTTCCAGGGGAAACCACGTGGAGGTCAATCTGACATGGTACATTGCTAGCAATGAGGTCATCCACGTTACTAACAATCCCCTTTCCCCCTGAGAGGTGAAAATTGGGGTCTCGGGGCGAACCCCTTTGCCCCGGCAACTACCTCGGGGTGGCTGGGTTAAAGCCTTTAGGGCGAGTATAAACTATTACTAATCTAACTTGCAAAACGTAGTGCCATACTTGGAGACAATTTTTTTTATACGCTATTTGTTATTTTTTTGTGGGATCACGTAATACAATACGTGCTACGTCTGTCATAAAATCTCCGATATCTAAAATATTTTGTCTAGATACGACCTTTGCCGGAAAAGTAATCTTGTTATTAATATTATAAACGCCAAAGTTTGTGAGGTTGGATGAATGTTTGTTATTCTTTCACACAAAAACTACTGAACAGATTTTGGTGAAAGTTTACAGTAATATAGCTTAATACATCAGAATAACATGTAGGCAATAATTTAAAAATATTTTATGTAAATTGTGCGAAATATGATTATATATGTCAAGGAAGTACGATGCAGACGAAGTTGCACGGGTTAGCTAGTTAAAAATATATTTATCTTATCTATTGTTTAACTTGCCTTTATTTGGAGAGCAGGTACTTTGTGTTAATTCGTTCATGTTATTCTCGCAATAATGGAAATAAATACTATATTTATTATATTAGACGTCAAGAGACCCACCTATCTATGTCGTTCTATGACATTTAATTATTTTTTTAACAAAGTAATATCTTGAATTATATAACCCATTTATTATCATTAATATATTAGTTGTCTAACTAAAATGGTCTCTAAACAGTGAGATATATGTATCGAAAGACAATGTAGTGACTAATATTTAAAAAAAGTTACGGTTCTTTGGTCATTTGTAGAGACTAATGAGATATATCGAGCGTATGAGTAAAGTACATCTTGTAGTCATTCTTACTACATGAATTAAGCGAGGTGTTGAAAAGAAGCCAAGTTAAAAGTACTCGTAATTGGCTAGTGGTTGATTTGGAATTTTTAGCATTTTATTATCATTTCCACCAATAAGAGACAGGCGTAATGTGTATATATACATATATATCGCACACCTACAATACTGAATTAATACAAAAAAGTAATTTTTTAAAGTTGTAGTTTAAGAGTGTATTTTTCAGTTTGTAATTTTTGTGTGTACTTATTTTTTGTGTAGTGTAACTGTAATGGAAATCAAACTGACGGCTCATCTGATAATAAGGGGCAACCATCGTCTAATCTGAACCACAGATATTATATCGTAATATGATGCTTATGATACAAGTGTACGCGCTTTGAAACTATCATCGAGCAATATTTCATATTTTTAATTATTGATTAGTTATCACACAAGCTCCTATTACTAAAAGGTATACAAATAATTTATTTAGAATTGACGAGCAATGATGAATTATATTGCTATATAATATCATAGCTCTTAAATTCGCATCTATCCATATATTTATACACAATATTTTATAAATCCTAAGGTAAGTGGATAAATTGTTTCACAAGCTCAAGAAGCTCCAGATGGAGCCACCAAATACTGCTTAAAAATCTAGCTGTTTGGCGGATGAAATAGTATAAACTGAAAACCTTGTAAAAGTATAAAATGTTTTATTAACTTTATCGAATCCATTCCAAGACAATTGTCAATTTCATCGTAAAAATATTTCATTCGGTACAATCATTCCTGTAAGCAAGAAGTATAACTCATCAATTTTAGATCCAATATTTCAATACCGAAATAAATTCAAATTCAAAATGTAACAACGGCTTAGTATTTCTGCAGTTCAATATAGGAATGGGTAATTTTGATCATACGTCAAATTGCTCGAGTTGATATTTTTCCAGCACTCTTCTCATCGACTTAGCTATTTGTTCCGGTCTGCTGTAAAAATATTTATGTTGACTGCTGCCCTCCTCGTTATATATGTCATGATCGACTGAACCTTTCGGTGAGATGAACAGTATTCTGGAAATAATCATAATTTTTGTGCGGTACTCGAAACTAAAGTCTACCATTGCAACTTATACTCGTGATACTCGCCGTCAATATTCACCATACACCATACTTATGGCACCGAACGCTTTTAGCATTCAGACCATCTTTTGTACCCTTTTGTTTGTAAAGTTTTATTGGTCGATGACGTTCAAATATATAAATTGAATAACTTGGAACCTAAAACCTCATCACATAGAATGCGGTTTCGGATATCTCGCTACGTTTAGGCTGTGAAAATGAGATCTACCGTTTGATTAATTATCCGTTTTCTCCCACGTTGTATAAATAAAATAGAATATTAATAAAGGTAAATGAAGTATTAAGAAATACGTAATCAAAAAGTAGTAGTAAAATTATTTCAACTCATTCAGAATTTAGACACTACTGCAAATGTATTATATAAATGTATATGTGTAGTTTATTTCTATTGCAAGTTGCTTCAACCTTGCCTACATAGTGAACGGACTGCAGTAAAATATCCTTAGTTATAAATAATTTTAGTTTAATTGTGATCGTTATAATATTATGAAATTTATAGTAGTAGAACATTATATGGAAATTATACCTGGGTATGTAAGACCCATCTGGAGCATAATTGCTATTCTTTGGCTCCTCTTCATCAACCAAGTTCACCATAACGAAATGTTTACTCAACGATTGTATTTCCGATGAACTGGCAAATTTTGGCTTCAAATTCTTGCAGGCAGAGCACCAGGATTTATGTATTATCACCATTACAGGCTTATTATGATGTGTTGCTATTTGTAATCCTGACTCCAGTGAACCTGCCCATATGTAGTTGTTGCCGAAACCATTGTCCTTGCCACTTAATGAACTGCAGTGGACTTTATCAAATATCAAGGCAAAGAAAGTTTTTACTATATTTCCTGCTGCCATAACTAGGATGTAAAAAAATAATACGCCAGATCCCTTTTTGTGTTGTAGCCGGCTATTTACATTTTATAATTTTGAATAGTATTTTCCGCTGTTCAGCCATTTTGACGTATTTGAATTTGACGGGCATGTCATTTCCAGTAGGCTAATAGTAGCGCCATCTAGTGGGATATGAGTAAATGCTAGAGTGAATTTAGTTTACGTGGTAGTAAAGGAGCGAAGATAAACTTGTTAGTTGCAGTAGAAATCTCTAGATGGCACTACATGTATTCGAAAATTTAAGTTTTTGCACCCTGTATAGTGATAAGATAAAAGATATCGAAAACTTGTATAAATATATATATAATAATAGTTTATGAATAACATGTATTATTATTATATCCCAGGGGAACGTATCCAAGGGATTGTTGGTAATATGAACTGGTGATCCCATTGCTAGCCTTGTCTTGTCAGGTTGACCTCCACACGGTTCCCCCTGGAAACCATCTTGATAAATTCCTGGTGAATTTATCAGGATGGACTGACTGACATGACCTCTTGCTCATCTTATCGTCCTCCACTGGTACCCCGCCAGCGTAATCCGTTAGCGCAGGCGGGGCGGGCACCATACCATTACTATCCATTAAAAAAAATATATACCAAATAAAAATTAACCTAAATGTTGTACGTGCTACCAAGTTGGAATATAAACATATAATATATACATATACATAATCATCAGCTTCATCTTTTTTCCTAGTGATTCAACTCCGAACAATTTTACGCATCTACTGACTACAGAATGATACTGATGAAGGCATTCTTTCCTAATTAAATTGCGACTCGTTGTTAGGTATTAAATACCTATTATATATTCCATTAAATACCTTAATAGAATTTATACCTACGTACCTACTACCACAATAAAGGGCACTGCTCTATTTTTCCTATACTCTCTCCTCCGACTGACAGCAATAGCCACCAGTCTCATTTTATATTAGATAACAAAATATTTATACTTTATTAGGTATAGTAAATAAAAGACGAGAAGAGGCCATTTTGGTATTATCGTGTTTCATTAAGTGGGCGTTACATTAGCATTTTATCAATTGTGTAACACGATCATCATGCAACAGCTAAATGATAAAGCTATATTCATGGCATTAATAATAGAAAAATATCTAACATTATATTATTATTATGAAATTAGTAGGTCCAACCTACAATAAGATCCTGCGTTTGGAATATGTAACCCCATTCCAACAACCTATCACCAACATGTCCATCGTTGTTATGTGACGTTCGAGTTACTCCGCATTGCATGCATTGTCATTCCTGACCCTGTAATTTTTCTGTCTTACTAGTTGTAGATATTCAGAAAAAAGTTAGAGGCAAAAAACATGAACACTCCTCGTACCCTGTAATTTTTCTATCTTACTAGATACGTGTAGATATTCATCGTGATAAATTCCGAATTTGTCATAAAACTGTGACCTCATACTCATCTTATCATTGCCCCGCCAGCGTAAACCGTTAACCGCCGAACACCAACACGGGCCTCGTTGTCATGTGCTGTTCGAGTTAGCCCTCATGCATTGCGATTCTTAATGGTGATAGCAGAAAAATTACAGGGTAAGAAGGTAAGACCTTACCCTGTAATGTTCCTGCCTGACACTAGGTACAGGTGTTCAAACTGAAACAAAGCTTAGCAAGCTGCTTGACATGATTACCCACGCAGATTAAGTCTACTTCGGTAAAATTATGGTAATAAACGTCTTTAGTGTTGAGTTAATAAATTCGTAAGTATTTTATTTAATATTTTTTATGGTACATATGTCAACAGTATGGATATACTCGTTTAATTCACAGCTAAGTACTTCAACAAAACCAGTGTAAACAACCACAAAACATTAAATTGACAACTTTTCAAAGTCACCGGAGTGTATCGGCGCGTGCTATGCGTGAGCGCAGGTTTTTCTCCCCTTTTCAAACATAACTATGTCGATACGTCGCGCTCCATGTAGCCTATTGGAAAAAGCAGATAAAATATGATAATTAAATGTAATTTGAACGTGGCCATATCTCTAACAGTGTACCGAGAACATTTCACAGAGCAACAACACAGCATCAACCCGCGTCTCTAATCCTTTACCATAGACAACGTGGTACTGTGGATTATAATATTTGCGTAAATATTCATCCATCAGACACCTCGTTACTGTTTCTTAATTAAAACGGCTTATCAGCAGTGGCTTATTTTTTACTTCTAAAAATAAGTTCTACTTAAGTAACTGCTACATTAAAATCCTCAACACTTTTGTCAAATGTCAAGTTTCGCGCGCTTTTTTATTTTTTAATTGCGGTCACGATCGTGGGCAAGACTTATACAGCCAGTGTTTAAGGAATAATAAACATGTACACCAATCGGGTACATAGAAATATGTACGGGACTGTTCGATCTATGGTGCCGGCGCGGTCAACGCCAATTGTACCCGGAATTGAAGATATTATGTATTCTCAACCATACTTCTACCACATTCCACCGCCGCCTCAGCCGTTAAACACTTTCCCTGGAAGAAAGAGACGGAAAAGGGTATGTTTATTTCAGTTATTAAGTTAGAGTATCGCATAGATTTCAGGATCTCAGTATATAAAACACTTGCGTAAAAAAATGCCTATCTATTCATATTATTACATGGATCAAAATATTGAACATAACAAATACATTAAAATTTATTTTCTACGTTAACCAGTACTTATTATTTTATCATAGGCCACAAAATATTGGTTTTATCTACAACTTCATCCGCGTAAGCGAGATAAATTGTGCGAGATTATCAATTGGACAGGACATTTTAGACTAATATTATACGCGTATGCCAAAATTTCGCAAATATTTATTAAACAAAATATATAATTTATATTTTTTTAAATGCATTTTGACTTTAGGTACTTGCGGAAGGTACTATTTAATTCAAAACATTTTTGTACTGCCGGTACATAGGTATAATTATTAAAGCTCTAATAAATCTTTATATTTTAGTTATTTATCTGTATCTATCTTCCCCTTTATTTATTTTTTAATTTGAATGACCATATCAAAACATGTACATAGTTAAAGTATATATTATTATGTAAGAAGTTTTAATTTTCATCAACATTGGGCAACTCTTTTAAGTATTTTTAATCTGTGTGTGTGATAAAAAATAATGCCACAATATTTATTTAAAGACTTGCATCCTTTCTCTAGAGCGATTAAGCAGAATTTTCTCTGCTGTAATTAACAACTATGTATCTAAGTTTAATAGACGCAACATGCACATAATTATCTGTAGGTACATGCAATCTAAATAACTCATGGTACAGTAGATATCTATAAAATCAGGGCAAGTGCGAATAAAGCATTACACTATCTATGGAAATTATGTTTAGGATTCACAGAAAATTGTACTACAATCATAACAAAAGTGGTATAGAACTATTACCCTATCTATGGATACTGAAGACATAACCTGAATATCTGTTTAGATTTGGCACAGATATCGCGGGTCATAGATATAAAATCTTTGAAGGATAGGAAATAGGAATTATTAACAATATTAAAGTTGCTTTTTTACTTGGAGAATATAAAGTGGTCCGTATACACCATTGGGGCATCAGAGGAGAGTGATAGAATGAGCATAAAGTTAGGGCAGTTAGATAATCTTGGCGAATTCATAATGAATTTACGATCAACTGATGACGGATGAGATCGATTATGAAAGCGAGTAGCTAAGCATTTCTAACTGCGTATGTTTCCGCGATGGGTTTTTCGATTACTAACCTTAAAATTATACATACTTACGAACTTACGAAAAAAATGCACGAAAATAATCAATACTTGTAATAATAAACACCTGGTTTTCTCCGTCTACTCTGGATTGGATTCGCAAATATATATGCTAACCATGCGTAAATTATGCAGCATTTAAATTATGTATAAAAACATTACACACACTACCATGTATTTGACTCACACACGCATCAACAATAGTATCTTAATAATTGTTCAAACTTATAATTTAACTAGCTTTTGCCCGCGGCTTCGCTCACGTTTATTTATCCATTTAGGGGTGGAATTTATCAAAATCCTTACTTAGGGGATGCCTACGTCGTAGTAACATTATACATGCAAAGTCTCAGCCCAATCGGTTTAAAACTGACAAAGTTTCATCCCCTATTTTATCCCTTTGGGGGTATAATTATTCAAAATCCTTTCTTAGCGGTTGCCTACGTCATAACATCTACCTGAATGCTAAATTTCAGCCCGATCCGTCCAGTGGTTTGGGCTGTGCGTTGATAGATCACTACGTCAGTCACCTTTGAGTTGTATATATTTAGATTTAATTATGGTCGAATTTCGACTAGTGAGCGACCACTAGTATAGATAAATACAGAAGAATAACTTACCCGAAACGTAGAATATAATAATCTTAAGCTATTTCCCAGAATTCTTTTCAGCAATCCGTTTTCCCCGATATCTCTCTATGAATGCGGACATTAATTTATACGACACAAAAAACGAAGCGCCAAATACTACAGTATCAAATATAATTATTTTGGCCTTCATTATTTTTATAATTACTTATAGAATTCTAATGAAATCATTAATTGTAGAATTTTTTATTTTATTTACGTTCAAATACGATCTTCTGTCAACATCTGGATTTTGTATTGCCATTGATATGTTAAATTATTTGGTAGTTCTTTTCAGGTGAATTGTTTAACATTGATATACCAATTGTAATGTGCTGATGTAGTTGCTGAGAACATATGTTTGTAATATTTTTTTTAATTTATAATGTAATTTGGTAGTTGATCTCCATAGTTCATAAACTTCCCTTCTCTTTTCTTCCCTCATTATCTTACTTTATCCAAGTAATTTTTTATTTATTATCGTACTAATATGATAAAGATTTTTATTTATTAATTAATAAATTGTTAAATATTTTTTGTTAATAAACTTTCAAGTTAATCAAAAATATTAAAATAAATAAAAATTCTAACACGAAAGTAGCGTAAGTTACTTCTTAGATATCTGCGAATGAAACTACTGTCAAAATCGATTTAGCCGTTTCAAAGAATAAACGACAAACAGAAAAAAAATTGTCTGTCGTTTTGTAAATGTTATTTTTGACATTTACAAAATGACCGACAATAATTTTTCAAATCAATTTTTATTAAAACAAACACTTCAATTTTATTTACTTAACAGACAAAAATTTTTAAATAAATTTTATTGAAACAAACACTTTAATTTCCATTACATATCTTTTTATATTTTTTATATAGATATCGTAAATTATACTGCAATTCTAAATTGTAGTTTTATAGATAATATCACGAAATGAATACACTTTTTAGATCTTTGATATCAGAAAAGCAGATAAAGTCATAAGTGATTTATAACTGAGAATATAAATCAGAAAGTTTCCTATCTGTGCGTTTACATGTTGATCATCCTTAAACGGCTGAATGATCATGAATGATTTATATGTCAGATAGACAAATCAACTGGAGTAAATATAATTCACAGACAGTACCTATATAAAAATTAAACATTATTTAGTGGGAAGTGAACTATATCAAATATTTTTCTCTTATCTATACCTGCTTAGATTATTCTTTCATTCTCAAAAAGTATGACGATTATATTAACATTAAAAATAATCAATGTATCCATATTATCGTCAATATAATCATTTAAGCCGCTCAGACGATATGTTATTATGTTTTATTAAAAATAACTACAATAATCACGTACGAAGTTTTATTTATATTGTACTAGTAGCTTGATAAGACTTCACCTGCGAAGACTCAATATCTTATGGGAAATATATATATTCTTTCGTAGGGCTAGATTAAGAAATAAAAAATAAAAAAATGTATCATAAGTCTCAGTGGTGAAGAGACTCAGATCAATCTATAGACATAACACAAGCTCTGCTTACCGTGGGGCTAGCGCTGTGTTAGTTGTCCAGGCTAAAAAATATATATACATATATATTATTTTGTCTTATCTTTTAATTAATCTGTTAATGTTGTGATGAACTGATTGAACTGCTACAACTATAAACAAAAATCTGTGCCCAAATTATAATTCAATTAAAACATTAATCGTAGTTGTTCTCTTCTGTCCATTTCAATGTGGACCTTTAAATTTTAAATCCATAACAGCTTAATTACACTATACAATAATAATAAAAAACAGTTTAATTGGTTAATTTTATTGACACAAACATTACAGTAAAAAATTTTTGTGTCAAATATATCGGAGACAATTAAAATTTTTGCGTTAAATCACTAATCAACGAATCACAATCAAATTAACGTTTAATTTTTTTTTTACTTAATTTTTTATTTTATTATATATTTTTATTTTATTTAATTTTGGTATTTAATTTTATATGATCTAAACCTTAGGCTTAAAACTATAGGCTAACTCCCAACTGACTGATACTACTTTAGTCGGAAGGCACCACTGAGCCTCAGTTCAAAGTTTAGTTTAAGCATTAAATAATCACATTAGTAGTTGTATTTTAGAAAATAGCTAGGTAGTAAAAATAAATCCAAAAAAAAAAAAATCGGTGCTCAATGAAACATATTTTTTAAGATACGCGACATATTTAAATGAATATTTTGAATAAAAGATTTTTTATTTTATATCTGAATGACACAATAGAGTTATCTTAGAAGTAAACAGTAATACTGTTTTGTCAAAAAACTTTTTTTTTATTCGTCTATTATCTATACCACGCAAGTTTATATTTCTGTGTTGGCTATATAAAGAAATAAAATCAGTATGTCAGACCATTTATATAATGATATTAGCAGGTAGATGTAGTATTACATATATTTAAGGGCATGGCCGTGATCTTCGTGGGTCCACTTCGGGGCATGGGACAATTTTGACAGGTTTTTTGGGCTCATCTTTCTGTCCAAGACAAGTATCTGGCGTCAAAATCGTTGAGAGATCTATTGGTGGACCAAATTTTCCGTATGTATATAAAATACCTGCGGTACTGGCTAATACGATTCCCATTAATTTTAACTGTTCCTTTCTAGATCTTTGCTCGTGTGGAGGAAAGGCAGTAAATTTGTCCTGGAGAATAGATTGGAAATGCTTCTTCCCAGTCAAGTGCCAGAATCGTGTTGGCTTAATTCCGTTGTTCATTTTGAATATTTCAAACTTTATTCTAAACTACACAAAAGATGCTTATTGATGATGTATTCTTATTCTCTAGTGTGAATGGTAAATGGAGAGAAGTAGGTATAGTTATTGTATTGTCTACCGATCATCCCGTCATTGGATCGTTAGCGGCAATACAGTCTGAAAAAAAAACACTTTTTACTATTTTAATATACAATTTGTTTAATAATAGCTACTACCAATGCCTTCTACATTTTCGTGTAAAATATACCAATCTTATGCATTATATGACGTAGTGTATCTTTTAAAAGTGAATATAGGGTGATATCCTTTTTGTAGTAAAAAGGCAACAAACAAACAGACAGTCTTTTTATTTACAACATTATGAATGAATTATTTCTAAGAGAGCTTTATTACCAAAATTTAATCTGAACGGCTTGATTAATTTTAATGAATATTGCGTCAGAGTTAGTCCATGCGCGAGATTAGGAAATTATTTTTATTCTATTCTGGCGCTGCCACAATAGACGACTTAATAATTAGGATTTTATCTAAAATCGCGCATGTTACTTTATGTCAGTACATTACTATTAAGTAAATAATTGCTAATAGTAACAATATCTTGAAAGTAATTACGTCTATGTAAAAGATTACTGCAAAGTAACTAGGGTAAGCCATAAAAATGCATGACTATGTACGTTCACGCAACTCTAATGAAGCATGCAGTTATGCGACTAGATCGAATGCTATCTTCGATTCATAAAAAAAACCTATGATTGGAGAAGAATATTTCACGTAACTTTACTCAAAATTTAATATATATCATGATGAAACAGCATTAATTTTTCATATAAATATTAGGTATGTATGGACAGGAATTAATCGAATCACCGCTCCAGCTTTATTTTCCAATCTACTGTTTGGGCCAAACCAAATTTCGATTTGCCTTGAGGACGCTTAAGGCTTTTATACAATGATGTCAAACGATTAAATACTATTATTTTCATTTACGTAAAAATAATTGTTTGAGAGCGGGCCTAATATATGGTAGAATTAATACCCGTCTTTGATGATTGTGTAACACAAGACACAGTTATATCAACGAGTCGAATATCGTATAGAATCAAGCTGCACGGACATGAGCACGGCTCTTAAAGTATGAAAATAAACAAAAATATTCTTCCTAAATTGAAAGAATTGAAATTGGATAAAACATTTCAATGAAACACATTGAAATCTTTTATCCAAGTTAAGACAGGATATTGTTCACAGTAGTAAACTGCAGCAATGTATGTTCAGAATATAATTGCACGTATTAATTATAATGTAGTAAAATTTACCATCATGGTAATCAACGTTTACGGCTATTCTTCTCCAAAACTGTGGCTATACATGAGAAGAAAGCTGATGCGGTTACTAACAAAATGATTTGGCGTCTGTTCATAACATTTTGTGGGATGAATTGCCAAATATGACAAATGTTTCTTTCATTGTTGTCAATTTTCAATTGCCATAGGTTTGTTTTATTTAAACGATTTGTTTTTCATCAAAAAGTTTATATTTATGTAATATATTATTCATTTTCATTTCATTAAACAATATTAATGTTTACCTAATTATTAAGATAATCCTTACGTTTAATTTAAATGACATTTAAACAAATATAGAGGTATTTATTGAGTTCTTTATGAATAAAGTAATTAACATACTTTTAATGCTGTAATATTTGTTCTTTGGTCATCATTACAAATTCATTTCGGCCAAGACATTCTCCCAAGAGACGACTGACCACCTGTCCCTCAAGACGGAGTCCAGTCGCACATTGTATTTATAGGTGTAGTATTAAAAAACGCCAATTACATAGGAGCGGGCCAGGTAAGAATAATCCTTATAAAGAGAACTAGTGTGCGTTTCACTGACAGTTCTTTTTAAAGTTGTGTGACGTACTTACAACGCCTTGTCCTTGTGTGAGTGGGATCCCTGCGCAGGAGTGTCCCGTGTAGAGGTTAACTCTCGCGGCCTTCACCAGAGATGCATTGGGACCGGTTTGATTTATCGGTCGTACAGATCGATTCTCTAACTTATTATTTAGTATATAGTCAACGTTTTTTATATAATATAATTTAAAAATATGTTTTATATAATTAAGTTTTAATATGTATATGTTGTAGTATGCAAATCTATCACTATCGTGGTATAAAAAAATGACTAAATAATGTTCAGTATTGTAATATAATATGTTCAGTACTTAATATATTTATATCATGGAACAAGTTGACGATTCAAACGTATGTATTTTAATAATTATAATAAATAGTGGTCTGTGGCTGCGTGTGATGTGATAGTGCGCTGTTTTTAAACAACTTTTAAGCTTCGAGGCTGAGTCCGCACCATGCCTTCTTGTAGTGGGAGAGCAAAACCTGTAGATACTGTTCCACTTCGAGACGGAGTACCTGCGGTGTCCGTTGTCCCTTTCATTCTCGCAATGGGTCGCGACAAAACAAGAATGTCTATTTCACCTCACCACTCTGGTATGCAAAGATTGATAGCTTTTAAGACCATTTGGTTTTGAAAGCACCAAGAAATCACGCACGGTTAACTTTTCGCTGCCTGGCGTCCTTAGAAACGGCCAGACATCGCCGTACAAAACTAACATAGTCTGTTCGAAAAGTTTTATGAGTCGTAATGTCATTATTGCGGTTTATTGATTGAATGCACGGTAATGCAACTACTTTTAATATATGCCAGTGAAGCCT